GTCGTTACAACCACAAGCTATACCCATTTATGTAGATCACGAAATAGAGCCATTTATAAGCAACAGATGCCGCCAAAATAATTACAAGAGAATGAGACACCGTCCACAGATCAGCGCAGGCGCATGTCACGATTTCTAACAAAGCCTTACTGGGTCAACGACTTGACGTGAACCTTGAAATGTTCTAAGACCGCGCATGTGTATCTGACCCATTTTCACGTGAATTTACGATACTATATTGCGACACCAGTGATCTCTTTCAATAGGCTATAACGCACTACGAATGCTTTAGTAAGGCTTTGAACGATTTTGTATGATTGCTTAGATCCGAATGAAATATTAAAACCAAATTCATTTGACGGGTTCGCAACGTATTAATTTAAAAAAATCTGTCAATTCTAATAAAAAAATATTAATTAAAACAATCAAAAACCAAGACGCCACGGTAATACCGTGGCATAGAAACAAGAAACATAAGATTAGTGGTATACAGTAGTGTATTCCCATTAAGACCAATTTTTTTTAAGTGGGAGTTTCTGTCACCATGGTTACGATGCATTGTTACAGGGTGACGAAACAAAACAAAGAATAACCAAGAAGGCACTGTTTATAAGAAGCATTAGACTAGTGGTAGATAGTAGTGTATTACTATTGTGACCAATTTTTTTTAAATATGGTTACGAGTTGGAGTCTGTCTGTCAGTCTGTTACCATGGTTACGATAACCATGGTAACAGACTCTCTCATAGTTGGTTACTATGTATTTAATAAATTAGTTAAGAAATAATATAATAAGACTAACCAAAATAATGTTCTGTAAATTGTGAATAATTTAAATAAGTACTATATGTACTAATGAATTTAAATACTAATTAGTACATGAAACGAACCGTTAGACTTGGCAAAAACATTAAATTCGTCATTGCAGTATTGCAGCTGTCACTGTCTGGATTTGCTATGCAAGTTATTAACGCAAGCTGATTAAAATGTTGATAATGATACGCAAATGTAAACAACATTAATATTCAAATGTAAATTGAAATGTCCACGATTCAGTGGTACACAGTACTGGAATTGGCCTAATTTTCAGGCTCAATTCCTTTTCTTTGACATGGCAATCATTTCAGTTTGATGCAATGCGCAATTATTATAAAGTACCTATATTAATACAAATGGTACCTAACCTCAAAACTCGAAGACGACTGGACCAATTTATTCCATGAACTCTGAGGAAATTTTTACGAATAGAAATTTTAAAAAAATATTAATATAAGGTTTCTATTCTGGAGGCGAACTGTCGCTATGGGGTACCTAGCTCAGAAAATAATTCCATATGTTGGTATTTCTTCAATATACGTTAAATGCACATTCCCTGATTAGAACGCGCGGAATGAAAATTTAATTATTCAGACTGGCAACATAGTGACGAACGTCAATACAAAAAATCAATATCCAAATTTACATAGTAGTGAACTCGCAAGCCTAACCACAGAGCACTGCTCTGTAAGACATAATTTGTGTATTCATACAGTCAAAGACATTTAGCCTTTGTTGCATACCATTATAATATCAATGGAATGACTCACGTCAGTTTCACTTCACAAAGGTTAGCACCTACAAGTATTGGGAGGCATCTATACAACAGTCTAATAAATCTCACAACTTTATTGCAGATAATACAAAAAAACTGCAAGAACATATAGTGCAACGGGCCTTATTAACATCATGATTTTGTTGACTTTATTTTCTTAATTTAATGTATATTTATACTTTTAATTAAACAACGACGTTTTATAGAAATAATATACACCACAATATTATTTACTTCTATTGTTTCTTCTAATATTATACTCTTCTTAATCTAAACTAATTTTTATTCATAAAACAAAGGGCAAACGCGGATCCGTTGCTAGTGGTACCAACGGCTATGGACATTTACACAGCTGGAAGGCAAAATTTCATTAATATCACCAAAAAAAACCACAAAACCCGGCATTCGGGTTTTAAAAATGAATTCTTTTGGTAGAGTTTCAACTACAGTGTTTTATAACCCTTAGTCAAGGTAGTATGTCAGATTTTTATTTATTTAGAAACACTTTGATTGCAACTATTGTGAAATAATTTAAATCTAAATTGCTTCAATAACTGTAACTCTTAATGAAGGACTTTAGTGACTTACAGTCAATTAAACTTGTAAGGTTATTATAGAACATTAATCATACATTTAATATCTCAACATGATGGGCGCAAGTCAGCTGTCCAAGCAAATGAATCAGTAATGGTTTTAGTTGAATAACATGCGACAGTTGTAACAAAAGTTTAATGCTGTTTTTGTTGGATACTAAAGGATGGACCTTTCTAATCAGCCCAAACTTCATCATTTAGATTTTTTTTTAAATTACAGTGAATAAAAAGTTTTGATAATTAACATTGGTGGGACATCAACAATAACACTTAATATGCATTTTTTTCTTTCTAAATGAAATAAAAATCAATAAATCAGTGCGCGACAACCTTTTGAGGTCTGGTCCTCAGATTTCTGTATCTGTTTGATGATTATTTGTCAATCTAATAGGTATTTGGGTGATCAGCGTCCTGTGCCTGACACACGCTGTCATTGGGTTTAAGGCATGATGGTTTCCTCACGATGTTTTCCTTCACCGTTCGAGCGAACTTGTTAAATGCGCATATAGAAAGAAAGTCCATTGCTGCACGGGGAATGAGCCGGGGATCGAACCTACGACCAGGGTTCAGGGTTGGAGTAACACTCTGATACCACTAGGCCAAACAACTCTAAATGGTGCATGAAATATTAATTTATATAATAATAAAGAGAAACAGTAAAAAGTGAAATTCCCCTACAGCCTGCTCACGTTCACTAACATACAGCATACATAGCTAAGTATAATGAATAAGTTTCAATAGGTCCCCTAGGTATACATTCATTTGTTCGATTAAATAATTCCCAAGAGCCTGTTCATTTTTTTGATACACATAATTAAATACCTCTTACTACATACAACTTATCTACAAACTAATAACAAAAACTTGCAAAAGAACGTAGACTACTATTAATGTGCACCTACGCAGATGTTACTGGCCCGAAAAGATCTCTAACGAGCAACTTTGGGAGCGCTGGCGACAAACCCCGATTAGACAACAGATAAAGCGTCGGAAATGGTTAGGCCATACACTCCGAAGGGATCCCAATCATATTAATTGGTAGGCGCTTAATTGGAAACCGCAAGGAAAGCGGAAAGTTGCAGATGAGGCAAAGAGAGCCGGGAAGACTTGGAGCGTGGTGAAATACGAAGCTCAAACCCGAACGCGATGGAGACTCACTATGGACGTCCTCTGCCCCATGTAGGGGTTATAGGATATTAAGTAACTAAGACGCAGATAACACGTATTAATTAAAATAATTTTAATAAAAGAAAGGTACTAACCGATGCTCATAAGAACCCTGACGAAATATAAATAGGCAGAGGTTATATCAATTTCACAGAACTAAAACTTTGATTAACCACTAATCAATATGAATAATGTGAATATCACGACCCGGAAAGGGAAACGTGAGTTAAAAGTTCATTCACCAGCCGTCCATTATTATTCTGTATTCGGGACAAATCCATACAGGCACGTGTAATTATGATTAGCATATTTGCTATCATTATTAGCACTGGTATTTTTATGAACTTTCAAATTAACAATAACATGTTGACCTTATTGTCTACTTCCGTTTTAGTCAGAATCGTTTTATGCATGAACATTGAACATGATTCGTCGGCACGGTTTATCGTTCTCCAAATAAGGTAAAAATTTATTCCCGAGTGTTTTTGGAACAAATGAACAAAACTAAGACATATGCTTTAAAAATATAAACTTACAAAAATAAGGGACACCTTAATGAACACTTATGTGACATTTATAACGGCAAGTACCTACTACAACGGAAATGTTGAAGAGATTGGTCTGTTTAAACGCATGAACGCGTCACACTATTCTCATGTACACTTCTAAGTGCCAAACTCGTTATAATGAAAACTGTGCGTTAATTAGACTACCGACAACAAACAACAGACTTATATCAGCCAAACCGAGTTTATATTTATTTTTTCATTGAAACGATGTTTTATATACTGTATTTCAGAGCATCTTCGGGGGCAAAAAAATAAACAAAAATTTTGTAGTGAAATAAATAAAGCGTAATCTTTTAATATGTACATAATTTAACAAATTAAAAATCTATAATTAATCATATGACAATAACTCAAATGCAAAATAGGCGATCAGTCCTTTTGTACTTTAAAAAAAAAGTCAAGACAAAACTAAGATTTCTTACACTTATAAACGGCATAGATCTCAAGCAATGAAATTTAAAAACAAGGCTTATGTAATTACGGAGATGACCGATGCGCCGGCGCATCCGGATACTGGTCAAGTTCACGGCCTATCTTTGTAACTGGTATTGTTATCGGCTAATCTTTATATGCTAGTCTTCTTGAAACAAGCCTATTAACATACATATTATATTAAAGCCTTTTTTATTTCTGTGACCAAACAATAAATTTAAATATTTATTTATTTATTACAGAAATACAAAACATTTGTCTCAATACCAAGTGAGTCGCCAGGCGGGGAAAGTCTGGGCAGCTGAAACCCTAGACTAGAAATATCTAAAAACCCTTTATGGTATTGCTTAATAAAAGTATCTTACTACTATGTTTACATTTTATCTATTCTTCTTATTCTGTTCTATATCTATATAGTCATGACTACGTTGAAATTTAATTTTCTTAATACAACTTATCATCCCCTGACAATTGGCTACTTTTATCTATACTAATATTGAATAGAATAGGACTTGAATGTATATTTGTTTGTATGTATTGTAGTCTGCAAAACGACTGGAATAATTTGCAACATTCTTTCACCATTAGAATAAAAACATATTTTTGCGTCATTTATCGAGAAAAGCTTCAACCTATAGAACATCGTACTATGACTGATGTTATGCGGGTAAAACCGCAAAGCGCAGTAAGTGTTATTTATACTAAAAATGATTTGATAGATACTAACAGTAATAGTGGTATTTGGAATAGAGTATTGTCGTACACAACTATCCAAAACAATCAATGATTAAAAGAATTCAATAAAAATAATACAGAAGACACAAAATTGTTACTAAATCATATGCAGATATGTGACCTCGCTACTTAATTTAATGCTATACTTAATCATAAACATCTAGAAACGAGAACATTAATTTCTTCAACAGATGTTGGTAAATCACATAAATCATGAAACGTCAATTCACGGATCTAAACATCTCTGGAGTCTACATGTATTCGCTATAACGCATCCAATATTATTGGTATCTTAAAAAAATATAAAGAGAAAAAAACACAGACTAATTATAAAATGATACTAAAACAAAAGAAGACACTTATTGTAAAGCAATAGCATTTCCTGAACAAGCAATAGACAATTAACGTTCTTTAAATGAAAAAATAAATATTACATACAAACAAGCAATAAATTTAACTTCAATCCCACACGTAGCCGGCATAACACTAATCACATACTACCTAAAATCAGAACCGAATATGGTCGCACAAATATAACTTATTTCCTCCTGATACGGGATGGCACTGGTGCCGTTCCGAAAAAGCTTTGGCACAAAAATAGCGTACGACGACGGTATATTTTACTTTTATGTTTTTAATATATGTAATAATTTTTTTCTCATGAAAGTGACATGTATGTTTATTAATAAGAATAAACTCCTTCAAACCTAAGTCCTGTTGGTATGTTTAAGAAAGATTAATGTTGAATAAGCATATAGATATTTATTATTCGATCTATCCGTATACGACGGTACCATCTGTATGAATTTCATAGAACAATTTTTTTTAGCACATAACACCCCAGGAAATCTACATAGACCCCACATCGCGTGCCTCTAACTCACAATTTGTTAAAATTCCACAACAGTTTGACCCCAGGTCAAAGACATGTCCGGAACAGTATCATCAAACAATCAGCATCCTGCCTGCGGCGATCTTCGAGTCAAGTTCACGGCGACCGAGTTGCGCCGGCGCCGCTTCGGTGACCGTACCATCTATTGACCTAAACACGCCGTGGCCGACTTCTCTGGCATTGAGAACGTATATAAATTTCGTAATAGCAATTTGCGTAAACTATGATACGTTCGGTAATTTATTTAAAGCGATAACCACGTTACTTAGTAACCGGGCAATAGACAAGAAACTACAAATGACTTTCCGATGCATATTGAAGCACTAACTACATGACATACATCCTATGATGGCGTTTAGTATAAGCAAGTGATATTTAAAATGCAAAAGGCAGTGGCAGATACCAAACGTCAATTATAATATTAAATCTTTATGAAAGCACAATCGAAACGTAAATTAAATCGTTAAGAAAAAAATATTACCATTATACGCAAATTCTTTAAAGCATTAAATAACAAGATTCCTTAACTCCAACCGTCACCGCCTACGCAGGAGTTATTTAGACGTCCTAAAAAATACCCGAACCTGATTGCACTTGACTTATACGATCACATTAATTCAAGCCGAAATGGCAAGACCACTTAATGTTGTGGTCTTTAATATTAACAATGAATATGCAAGCAAAAAGGCGATACAATTCCACCGCCATTGTTAAGATTAGAAACCGATCGAGCGAAACGTTATGAGGGTCACACGACCGCACCTTTTGTCTCTAAATTACATTTTGTTTTCTTCTGTCTGGTATTCCCCATAACCCAGTCTTGACCTCGCTATAAATTTTCGATTTGAAGTACAATGCAGACGCTGGTATTTAACAAGGATAGAGTGTTAATCGATTCTTGGACATAAAACTGATATTTTCAAAAAACAAGTTTGGGTAAATTAATGTATACCATTAAAATATATGTTTAGTTTACAATTTAAATGAGACCACTTCAACCAGATTCACATTAAATTACGCCTCGACAATAAAACATGGATCAAGTTTACAAGGAGTAACATTGGAGCCATTTTTATTACTTCACTTCAATCAATCCAATTGACAATTTTACGTTATACTAATCTTATCTTTTGTTCAATGGAGAACACTTAGCATATTGTGACCTTGACTTACATATAAATTAATTTGTACACATAACGCGATCTCGTGCAATAATGGATTGAAAAAATTATATGACACAATAGGTGACCTCTATTTTATAACATTCACGTAATTCAAATCGAGTGGGTCAAATCGATAACGGTATCGAACAGTGTGATATGTTGATGTCACGCTTCTCGAATAATCATATAATTTCAAGGTATTTCAAGGTAAGCGAGCGCATTGACAGATGGGTGATCAATCATTTAGGATTATATATCAATCAAAGTGTTAATTGGGTATAACATGCCCTATTCACATTTGCATCACGATCGATCTTGCAAGCATAAAACACTAGTTCAGTCTAAAGCCAAAAGTGCGTGTGAACATGTTAAGTGGTATGAAGTTTAATATGACGAAGGTAATCAAATGGATCGTTCTGTCGAATAACACATTTAATTCACACAATTTACAATTATTTAATCCTGGTTACATTAAATGTGGTGTTAACATGTCTCCAGTCTACCTACCTACACTGAAGTGTTTTCGAACCAATTCGACTTCGGTCCTACAAAAAAGAGCGTGCCTTTTTAACAGGCCGGCAACGCACTCGCCTGCCCTCTGGCATTGAGTCTCCATAGGCGATGGTATCACTTAACATCAGATGAGCCTCCTGCCAGTATACCCCTATTCTATTTTTAAAAATCCAAAAACTCTTGTCGCTCCTGTTATTATGGTAAGTTTAGATATCAATACAAGCTATTAACTAGTATAACCTATCTCACGATAATCTACATGTTACATCATCACACATGTTGCAGGAAATCCTATACCACCAGTAAATGCTTTACATAATAGCAAAACTTTGCTTAATAACTTATTAAATTTAATTGACTCGACGTATAAAGTAATCTAAGTATAAATCCTCTTACGTACAAATTGGACAAGAGTCTGAAAGTTATTTTTCTGCGTTTATCTCACTTGGTAGGGCTTGCCTTTTAAATCTACCCTGTATGCCCAAAATAATTGTTTTTGACATCATAGCATTCTTCTTCTTTTGGTGCCTCTCTGTTACTGGAGGTTGGCCTTCAGTCTTGTGAAGCGGCAACCACAATGCAGTAACTCTTCCGCAGTCGCAATACCCGTGCACTCCCTAATTGAAGGTGGTAGCGGTCATGGCGCAACACGCAGCTCAGGTACGCAACATTCCGTTGTTTGATGTTCTCCATAAGTTTTATCAACATTCCAACTCGATTAAGAATATTCTCGTTAGAGACATTTTGTATCCAGATTATGCCCAGTATCTTTTTTAATTATCCAAGCTTCACAGCCGTACAGATTAATTGGCCATATGTATAACTCAGACTCAGAGTTTAATGGTCTAGTTTTAAATTAACCAAACTCTTGATCAACGTTCAGTAAAATCTAATCTTTGAAATGATTCATATTTCAATATCATTCATCAGATATTTTGGCCAGACTCGTAACAAATATGAGGAACAATCATCTTTACTCTTAAATCATGGTGACATTAACAGCCGAATACAATTTTGGTTTGGCACGTCTTACGATGGTTCATTGGAAATAAAGGCTAAGACACAATAACGAACGACTGTGTAGAACGTGCTTTCAACCGTTGAGTATACGTAGTTTTAACAACTTCCTTGAAGATAATAAACCTTTAAAAATTTGTATAATTATACACTTATATATAGCTGGCTAGACAATATATCATACGTATATTGTACCTATATGTAACAACATTGTACCAATAAACCTTTGTTAAATGTATTTTACTAGTTAGTTAGTGTTAGTTTTAACTTCGTTTTTATAATTTATGTTGGGTTGTCTGGAAGAAACTGAATTTGACAGTAAGACGATCATTTATTTAATTTTATCTTTCTCCAGTGTTTACTGTGTAAATAAAGTGTTTATTATTATTATATTGCTCGCTCACGCTTATTGTAGTTTAAAACAAGGCATGAATAATCTAATTATCCGAGATTTACATTCAAAGTGTATAATATTCAAAAATGCTCTAACACAAGCCCTGCTGAGTTAATGATTTCCATAGACTACGGCAGGTACTTAAACCTAATTTAATTTAGGTTTCAGAAATGACTAAGAAATTGTTAACGAAACAACATAAGTAAATTTTCAAAACAACGAAATACTGAAATTAAAATTCCAAATAATATTAATACATTTTCGAAAACAGGAGACCTCTCTTAACAATCAAGTTCACCCCCTGTTGGCCCCACGTCACGTTAGGACTTTACAAAATAAACTTTATTATTTTCATTCTATAAGAACCCTTACCGTATCATCTACAGAAATGATGTTCTTATATATCAAAGGCGGGTAACCGATGATGTGGTCCTGAGTTCTTAGAACGCTTCTTATAATGTTCACGGTGAATGTCAATGTGTTTATTCTGAGAGGTTTCGAATGCAAAAATAAGTTTACATCCAACGTCCGCAAATGAGTTGAGAAAATAGTCTGAATATGTCGTCATTAAGAAATCTTTAAACCAGTTTTACTAGACCGATACTATTGGGCATTATTGGCCTAGTACTTTCACAATGCGACTCACATCCCTACGGTCGTAGGTTCGATCTACGACCACCGACTGTGCACCAGTGGACTTACTATGTGGGCATTTAACACCCACTCCTACGGTTAAGAAAAACATCGTGTAAAAAGCCCGCTTTCCTTAGACTCAAAAAGTCGAAGGCGTATGTCACAAAAGTCTGATCACCTACTTGTCTACATGAAACAGATACCTACAGAAATCTGAGGCTCAGACTTAAAAGGTTGTAGCGCCATTGGATATACTCGGATAGCCGTAACATTCAATGCCGATACTTAGTTAAGCTAAGCTTTTTGACACTCGCATGTCAAAAAGAATTTGGTATAAGGGCTCCCACACAAAACTGCGAATTCGCATCGCATCGCAAATATCTGCGAATTCGCACGAACGCACCGCAAGAAGTTCCGATCTGCTTCGCATCGCACATTCTTGCGATATTACGTCATCCTTGGTGACGCCATTTTAGTCCGCTCTGAGACAGCTTTAGAGAAAGACGCGCGGCGCTTCCGCCGCCTTCTTTGTTTATAAAAAAATGCGGAATATGATATGAATTTTTTAATATTTTTAATTGAGGTGCGTCCCGCCCTTTGGGACACAAGTGATGAACATTATAAAATAAATTTATTAAGCAAGATGCGTGGAAGAGCGTCTGTGAAAGTTTGCATCAGGGTTCATAATCGTAATAAATGGATGAACCCAGAATCTTCTTTTTCTTTTATATCTATTTAACAGTAACAGCAGTGCAATTATCTTTTTGCGATCCATCTTACGCTTCCTAAAAACATGTCCAGTACGGCTGACTACGAAGGAATGGTCGCCCTACCAAACGGTTTGCCGCACTAAATCGTATCGCAGAAATTCGCATCGCATCACCTGCGATGCGAATTCGCATCGCATCGCAGTTTTGTGTGGGAGTCCTTAGCTACATACTTAGCGCAGGGTAAGTACGATAAGGTTTTTGTATGCGTTTTGGGTGGCGCCCTGGAAGATTTAGATTCACAAATCAGCCCGGCAGATTGCTGGTAGTTCTAATCGCTTGAAATATCATGCAGGAAAACGTCTGTCGGGTCCACTAGTTAAATATATATCTACCTTTTTTTATTTTACACAATAATAAATTTACTAACTTATTCAAGGCATGTATATTACATATGAAAAACACTGTGGTTTGCATTAATATAACAATAGCAGTCTTGTCTGGAGCGCAACAAATGCATATAAAATAATTCTTTAACTCGTTTCTTATGTTGCTTACGATAAGATGTCTATTAACTGACCGAGTAGTATATTTATTAACTGCGGCAGTAAATGCTTTAACATTCTCGCACCATAGACGAACTTGTGTTACTGTCTGTGTATCTGTTTTTGTATCATCTCGAAAAAAGTCCTCGACTGGAAGACATTTACTTACACCTACTAAACACAATTACCTAAACAATGCAAGTTACGTCACCGTTGAAGAAGTTCAATAATCATAACATTCAGACTTTTTTCGCGCGCTTTTCGTCCGCCATTTTGTGAGAACGCGAAAGTGGAAAGTCGCCATTGTCAGTGTCTCGGGAGTCGGCGTTGCTCTTTCTATGTGAAAACTTAGATA